TGTGTGTGTGTGTGTGTGTGTGTGCGCGTGCGTGCGTGCGCGCGCGCGCGTGCGGCGTGTGTGTGTGTCCACGCATATCAGGGTCACCTGACACATTAATGAGTTTAATAACCTGGCGATATAATTTTTTGTTTACATCTAGATTATATTATTCCTCCGAATCAGATTTACAGCAATGAAGCTGAGACTCATTGTGCTGCCCTTCAGACATGTATGCAATGGACAGGTTTTAAGTACTTCATAAGGAGGGCTATTATGCGATCTATTCAGAGTCCCATAACAGGTGTTTACAAGCTGTGTGGCTTAGGCAGAAAGTTGTTTGCTTGTTGCTTCGGTTGTTGCTGTTGTTGTTGTTGTTTTTGTTGTTGTTGTTAATGCTGTTGTTGGTTGTTTTTATTGTGCTATAAAGCAACTATGCAACCGTCCTTGCCTCAAACATGATAAAAGATTGATGCCGGGTTTTTCTGAAGTAGTGACATCATATTATGGCTTTCATCTAAACAGAGTTCACTTGCTCTTATTGACTACAGAAAACGAGTTCTCGGTAAACATAATTTACTGTTTATTCCCCCACTATTAAAGTATCGTTTCCCCCTAAGCTTTTGAAGCTTGAGACATTTTTCAATATACAAAAGAAAAAATACACATCTTGACTTAATTTTTTTGGGGCGAATGATAAACTAGTTATATTTTTAGAAAAGAATGTTCTAATAATAGTTAAAGTTTGAGAGATCCCTTTCAAAGCGGCATAAACATCCGGACTTATTTTCAACGGCGAATGGTAAACAATATATTATTTTTGTTAAAAAAAAGAATAGTCTAGTAATATCTTCACGTTTACATAACCTTTCATAGCGGCATAACCGCAATTTCTTTAAAAAACTGGTTTTAGAATTTAAAAGATTAGATAACATCTGTAACTATTATAAAAATGTTACAAGCTTTTTTTTTTTTCATTTACAGTTAGGAAAGGGCACTCAATAACATCCTTTAGAATTCAGATACAAAAGAGTGAAATATTTTCCACATTCTAAACTGCAAAGACTGCTCAACTCTGTTATAGAATCCTTTTGGATCATAATTTGAATCGGATCGTTTAAGTGTTTGTTCATGCATGGCAGAGCAGGTAAAAATAACTGCTTTGTGCTTATTGATAATAGTAATAATAAATGTGAGGTGCGCTGACAAAATGAGTTACTTTTCCGATTTTAGCCTTATGGAAATTGATACATCAACTTTACAGGTGAAGTTTGTACAATTTGTAGGTATGGAAGAATAAAAGACATGGTAGACCTGGACAAAATGGTATCAATTAGAAATCTATAAATCTGACTTCAGTGTCGATTTTCGGCTGATATCTCCATTCTTGGACAGCGAGAAGTAACTCATTTTGTCAGCACACCTCACAAATAGCATTTGTATAGCGCAGAACCCCGCTCGACAGAAGCTCTATGCACTTTATACTGTATAATTACCCCAGCAGACCATAGAACACTCAGAAACATTCTCAGCTTCCCAGGGAGCATACAGTGCAAGCAGCTGATTAAGCGCTCAAACACTAACAAACTGACAAGATCTTTCACTGTCTATAGCTGGGTACCCATTCCCACTTGGGTGAAGTGAGGAAAACTCGTGTAAAATGCCTTTCTCAAAGACACAACGTCGGGTCCCTGACAGGATTCGAACCCACGACCTTACGGTTGCGAGTCCGAGAGCCTAACCAGTAGGCCACCGACGCCCTCTAATGCCCACATCTAAAACTATCGCCATGAAAATCATGGTACTCGACACACGTTGCTATAAAAGGCAATAATACTATAAAGGAAATTTTAATATATTAATATAAAGTCAACACAAAGATTTTATACTGTTTTGAAGCCCTTAGAAAAACGATATCTAAACACAAAACAAAACAAAATTTACATCAGCAGTTTGGTGCAAAGAAAGACCTGTACGTGGGCATTCGCCTTCCATGGTTCGAAACTGAACCAACAAAGGGAGCTAGAGGCTCACCTGGAGTGGATTACGTAGGTGTCAGATTTTTAAAAAAGGGTAAGGAAAACCGAGTACATCAAAACCTGAATTCTGCGGGGGTTTTGTTTTCTTTTGTTTTGTTTTTGTTTTTGCTTTTTGTTTTTTGTTTTTGTTGCTGTTGTTTGTTTATTTATGTGACGCTCAAGAAGACAAACACTTTATGTTTTCAAAGTGTTGTCGTGAACTGTTTTTTGGGGGTTTTTTTTGGTGTTTTTTTCAAAAATTAAATTGTGGGCTGGGATCTGTTTAGTTGGGTTTTTTAAAGTTTTAGTAGAGGTTTTACGGCGCGCTCGCAACTGCATAAGGTCATATGAGCGCCAGAAGATTCGAGGTGTTACAACAAGAGAGTAACAATTAACAAACAGGAAAAAGAAGAAGGGGAGATAAGGACGATATAATTATGTTTGATAGGAAAGAAGGAGCAAACCACACCAGAGCACCCGCCAACCGCCCACTCTGTTTAGTTTGTGAGATGGTGAGGAATGTGATGTGAAAGATCTCACCACCACACACAAGGAGGAGAACAAGATTACGTCAATTTATGACATTTTAATAAGAACCATACTTAACTTTGCTATTTTCAGCAAATAACTGTTTGAACGTTTCAATTTCCTTTCTTTTCCATTTTTTTTAAATTTGTGGAAAGAGTGACGTGATATGGAAGAAGGAATGGAGAGAGAGAGGGAGGGGGGTGAGAAAGAGAAGAGAGGGAGAGAAGAGAGAGACACACACACACACACACACAGACAGAAAGACAGATAGACATACAGACAGACAGACAATCGGACAGACAGACAGAAAGCGATCAACACACACACACACACACACACACACACACACACACACACACACACACACACAGAGAGAGAGAGAGAGAGAGACAGACAGACAGACAGACAGACAGACAGACAGACAGACAGACAGACAGACAGACAGACAGACAGACACAGGGAGGGAGAGAGAGAGAGAGAGAGAGAGAGAGAGAGAGAGAGAGAGAGAGAGAGAGAGAGAGAGAGAGAGAAAACAAACAAATGCGTACACGAACAATCACACATCCACACCAGCACCCCACCCTAGCCGGTTAACCCCTTACCCAACGAAATCCCCCCCCCCCCCCAACCGACCTCCACCAATCAAACTTCCCCCCCCCCCACACACACACAATGACACATAAGCTCAAATTAACCATCAAGTCATGATTCATCCTCACATGATCAAATCTTTGGCCAAAGAACAGGGGTGGGTAAACTCCTCGGATCTAGGACCACTTCAACTGGGCCATAAATAACTCTGCCAAAGCTGGCCGACCGCACCGTTTGTTTAGTTTTAGTAGAGGTTTTACGGTGCTAGCAACTGCATAA